TTAGGATCATCATCCAAATTTACATGATTTTAAAGATTGGTAGAGGTAGAAGCACGGTAAAATTTGATCTGCTTTGAACTAACACTACGAACTTCCTTGACCTCTAAACTCTCAACCTTTTGAGGGGGATTAGAGTAAGGGTCATAGTTTTCACATAGTGGTTTATCCGATCATACATTGTTTCATAGTACTGATGTTTCTTCTATTTTGTCATCATTATTTCATCTTCAGAACTGTCTTCATCCCCAATGTTCATGGTTGGCCTAGTCCGTTCAACAATTATATTGATTCTTCCTCGTCCACGTCCCCAGCCTTGACCTCGAGTGCGCGAACTAAAAGAACCTCCTGCAATTTGTTGTAGAAGGGTGGTGGAAGTTCATTGAAGAAAAGTTGAACGGCCTCCTTTTTGTGAGTTTTCTGAATCTTCATTTTTGGTTGTCAGAATCTCTTGTGAGAAGACCGTTTTCTTTGGTGAGGCGTAGTAGGCAGCATCTTCAAGAATACCAACTTCATGAATTGAAAACGGTTGTGGATCCCCTTTGATGTAATGTTCTTGTCCTTCTTTGCAGTATTTGATGCACTGATGTAGAGATGACGGAACCATGTTGTGTTCATGAATCCACGGTCGACCAAGTAGAGCGTTAAAAGAGTTCTCAGCGTCAATGACATGAAATTTAGCCGTTGCTACTAATTCTCCGACCTTCATAAGTAATGAGATCGATCATAAAGACCTTTTTCCTTTTTTGGTTAAATCCTCTTAGCATCATTTTATCGGACGTAAGCTCTTGGGCTTCGATGTCCAAATAGGCCAATGTACGTAGGCTCATCAAGTTGAGAGATACTCCTAGGTCTACCAGAACTCTGGATAATACAAATCTGCCAATGTTGACGGAGATGTAGAGTGGTTGATTGTGGTCGGTGGTACCAAGAAGCAAATCTTCATCTGTGAAGGTTAGCCCTGACTGTTCTTTCAATGAGCAAACTTCATCTAAAGATGTGCTGGCCAACTTAGCTAAGCAAATCTCTGGATCAAGCAAAGCTGTAACTAGAGCTTCCCTCATCTCCTTCGACAGGATCAGAGCGTCATAGATTCTTAATCAGGCCTACAACTTCCTAAGATGTGCTAGCACATTGTAATCCACTTTATTTGTTTTTGTGGCTTTATCTTGATCATGTTGTTTTTCCACTGGTGGAGGTAGAGTTAACTCTTCTTGAATTACAATTTGTTTTTCTTTATCCGTTGGAGTTGTTCTTGGAGGTAACACTTTTCCGCTCCTTCAATTTTATTTATGTGATTTCTTCTTGAGATGTTGCTGTTGAATCTTCTAATGTATCTTCTTTATCGGAAAGTTCCAAGTTGATTATTAACGGTGTACCATGGCACTTGAGGATTGTTTCCTCACTTCTGGTCCTGTAATAAACAATATCGTCGAAGTCTT